TTTTTTGTGGGAATATATATGTGTTTGTTTTTCGCCCCCCGTCTTGCTGCACCCCCTGGGGTGTGGTGCAGGGCGGGGGATGCCTGGTCGGCGGGAACCCGGCACGGAACCCTCCGGCGTTGTAGGCGGGTGTGGGAAGCGTTCCCCGTTCTCCTTTTATTTTATTTTGATCGGTCTCCTCGACGCTCTTTCTCGTTTGGTGCGGTAGCTGGTCTTTCTTTCTATCATTTTGTTTCTCTTCCGAGTGGTTTTTGTAGCCTATTTTTTTCTGTTTCTTCGTGGGGTCGTGTATGCCGGGTTTTGAGACCACGGGCTCCCAATCTTTCTTTTTTAGAGCTAATGTGAGAAACAACAACAAACAACAAGTCTCGGAAAATGGAATTTCGGAGACAAGAAACTCTAACTGAAAGCCACTACATCGCGATTCATCAAAGCCGCAACAACCAACGGCCAGGCCGCGATTTCGCACCCCTTGGCAGTGGATGCGAGTGCTCTTTCGTGGGGATCGATCTCAAACTTGGCATGATAAGTATGCAAACAATTTCATGCAAACGGTTCAAACACTCGCAACGGAGAAACTTGTAGCACTCAAGAAGCGGCACTTTTTCAACATGGAACGCATGAAAAACCGCTAGGTGGCAGAGGAAACTTAGCCAACAATCTGATCGAAGTCGGTACGTCACCTCTTCGGCATCGTTGCAGACCACAGAGAGCGCACCGATCCTCTGCCCGTAGAGGCCAAAGTTCTTGGCGAAGGATTGCGCAAGAGCAATGCAGTGACCGTCGGCAACGAATCGCCGGATTGCCCAAGCATCCAATTCCGCATCTCCAGAGGCGAAGCCCTGCATCGCACAGAGAGAGGGAAAAAAGGGCTAGTTATACAGCGAGGCCAATACCAAGTACGAATAGCCGTACAGCTGAAGGAAGAAAGCATTGAATCATGGACTGCATAAGCTTGCAGCGCTACGACAACCGTTCGGGCTTTCGGCAACGCAACCAGTTAGAATCACCATCGAAAACGTACCCATGTAGCAAACCAAAATCGTTGGTCGCGTCCGCATCGTTCCCCCCAAAATTCCAGTTCGACATAATAAATCGGGCGTGATTTACAAGATCTGAACAGCAGATAGTGGTACGAACAGGTAGACTAAATCGTACGCATTGCGGTACATATGCATATGACGAGCAAAGTGTTCGTGGGTAGTCACCTGATAAGCGCAATCGAAGAAAGCGGTGTGCTTTTTACTCTTCATGACCTTGCTCAGCTCCGCCCACTGATCTTGCGAAGGGTCAATCCCAGTGGGGTTGTGAGCACAGGCGTGAAGCAAGAACACCGATTCATCCTCCGCTGCCTGCACGTCCGAGATCAGACCTGCCAAAATAGATGGGTAAATGGGGAAACGAGACATGTAAAAAGGGTGTTTCATGTAAAAAGGGTGTTTGCCCGACACGAGATAAGGTGCCCCATGCCTTATATACTGACATGTGGTGCCCACAGATACAAAACAAAATTAACCTACTAGCAGGACAATTCAACCTCTCGGTGAAGTGTGGTTGATTATCAATCGCAGACCGAGTTTTGTAAGTTGTTTGACATCAGGCGCTATACACTTGAAAGCGACAAGGGTTGGGGAAGGTGGCTTGTCGGCATTTCATCCCCTGCCGGGCATAGAAAACACAGCACGATGAGTAACACCGGCAGCACTCGGACTGTCATCACTCAACCCAAGACGAACAACAGCCTGGGCACACAGATTACGAAAGAATCAGATAGACAAACGAATTGCCGCTCGGTCCTAAACGATGGTATATCATTCCACTACTGCTATGATGCCATGAAAAGTGTTGGTGCCGGCGCATGGTGTCACCTTCGAAGTCAAGGCCGACCGTCTCCGGGTCGAAGTATCGGTACTTCTTAACCTCCAAGCCCGCGTTTTTAAAGATGGGGATGTGGTTTCCCCAGGTAGGATTGGGCACGTAGATCGCGGACCCTGTGCCGCGGAACCTCGCGAACAACTCTCCCATGACGCGGCAAGCCCCCGTGCCCGACAGGGTCTACATCAGAAGGAACAGGCAGGCAAACACAAGGCCCAAAAAGCGCCAAAAGGGGTGTGACGGGGGCGAGGTCAGGCTGAGAAGGGTCAGGTGAACAACACGGTGTACAACACTTCTCTAGCTCTTGGGACGCACTTCAACTCACTACTACAATACGGGAACCCTGATACCTACCAGCGTGGAGACTTTTTTTTTTGTAATGGCTTGGTATAGAGACAAAAGCGCAAGAAGGCCTATCCGCGCTGCAAGCCGCCGGCCAGAACGGTTGCCTGCTTGCCCCGCAAGAATCAAACATGTCAATCATGTTTGCCGACCAAGAACCGCTGAGGCTAAAATACGCTCCCACAATAACCAGCAAATGCTGAAGCAGAGCCAACCCTCGCAACACTGCGATGCACACCCGGGAAGGATACTGCCCTTTCAAGCTTGCATGGTCTACGTGGTCTACTCTTTACTCTTATGTTTTGCATGCCTTAGCGGTTAGACCATTGACCACGCGTCCTCGAGAGGACGGAGCATTGTTCCCACAGGACCGATCACCGATGGCCAATCGTTCCTTTCTACTTTGCCAAAGGTGGCTC